CTTCAGAGATGAAGTGCACCTGTCTGAACCCTGGAGTGAGCAGGGAGTAGGTATCTAGGTAATGAGGAAGGAGCGGGGAGGGCAGATGGAGAAAGGAGATGGGCCCTGCAGAGACAGAGTCAGGTAACACTGGGTTGTCACCATGGCTGTGCAAACTCTACTGCTCTTGCCAATGGGGCCTACGTGGTCCTGAAGAACGATGGAGGAGGAGGCACGCTGACAGGAGGGATGGTATGAGATCCAACCTTAGACCTCTCTACAAACCCAAATGGTCCTGGAAGGCAAGGGGTAGGTCGGGAAATCGCCGAAGTACCAGAAATGCCCACCAGAGGGCACAGCCTCGAAGACTAAACTGGCTACCAAGTGGACTGATTGGTGACCCTTCATGAAGGTCAAATGTCTTCCAGCCTCAGGCAGCCCGTTACTTGGCAACGAGCTCAGGGGCAAAGAAGCACAGGTGAATGGGGAAGACAGGCAACTGCCACAGTTCAGTCAGCTCCGGCTGCCACGGAGGGGCTTATCTGCTGCAACAGTGGCCACGCAGAATGCCTGAACCGTGTTCCGTGGGGACCAGGGTGCTGGTTGGGAGGAAACCAATTACATCAGACCCTTGTCCTCCCAAGAATAGAAGCAGGGCTGTTCCTCATGTCTGATTCGCCACTGCCAGCAGCACCACCATCTGCAGGCTTCTGGAACACTTCAGACTCTGCTGCTGGGTCTACTCCACGGCCCCTCCAACCCAGAAGTCACTTGAAGGGAAAGTAGCATGGCCAGGATTCATGGGTGCCACTATGTCCCAACTACCACAGGAACTCTGGAAAGACCTGGCCCTTGCAAACAGCCAGCCAGACCTTGTCTTACTGGAAGCAGGGTGTGCTCTGTCTGGATCACACCTCTGACTTAATGTTGGCCAGAAAACAGAGGTGTAGAAACCAGGAGGGAGGTTGGTGGCAGATCTAAAAAGAGCCATCCCTAGTCTCCTCTGCTCTTTGGGAGCCTGGCGGGGGGGGGGGGGGGGAACCTGCCTATCAAGGGTACAATATATTTCTTCCCACCTAGAAGCTAAAACACTGCTTGGTTTTTTCACATCTTAGTAAGCCCCAGTGGCCGAATGGGCCTTTGTGTTAACAGAGGAGTATGTGAACACGCCTGGGGTGGGCTGCAGAGGCTCTGTCCTTGACTTCAGTCTGTGCTCAATTTCCCCATCTGTAAAATGGGTCTGAACTAGCCTAGTGCCAGCACTCTGTAAGAATAGCCACTGTTAGTACTTGAGAGGCTGCTTACTAATCTGACCATCAAGAGTATGTGGGGTTTGCAGCAATGAGAATTGGCAGGTTCCCTGGGCCTCTCCCTGCAGACAAAGGCTGCATCCAGCATAGGAAGGCCCAGTAGGGGAAAGGAGGTCTGCATTGTCCCTCAAGGAGAAGCCAGTGCATTAGCTGCTTCAGGGTTACCTGAAGATGAAGGACTCAGGAATAGGACACACAAGTCTCTTGTCATTAGGCTCCATCAACCTGATCCTGACAAGTCATGGATGCCAGTACGGAGCGCCTGTCCACAGCCCCAGGTCCATCCCCGCCCAGGAACCAGTGGTCAGTGGGTTGCATCTGCCACCTGCTACTTCTGCCCAAGAGTCTTGGATTCCTTGAACAGCGTTCACAGCCCCCAATGGAGACCACTGCAATCACTCCACTGTACTATCACCATTATTCTCTATGTGGCAGACACTCTTCTGACAGTGTCCAGGATCCGTTCCCATCTTTCTGCATGCCTCGGACTCTGCTGTGCCCTCTCCCAGGACACCCAGCCCTGCCTTCTGCTGGCTTTCTCCATCCGCCCCATGTGTCATCCCTGCGACTGAGTTAAGTATTTCAGAGTCAGCACCACCAGAGTTCTGACTGCCCCCGGTGCTCTCTGCTCGCCCTCCCAGCATCTTGAAAACCATAGTAGGCTGCAGCCTAGGCTCCTCCTGTAAAGTGCCTGGCCCAACACAGATCTTGCAGAAGGAGCCAGGGCCCTCCCTGTCCTCTCCCTTCACAGAGATCACACAGAACAAAAACACAAAGAAGGAGAGAGGCTTCCTTTGTTAAAAGACGGCAAACTGTTAGGTTTCAAAAATAACTTAAGACGGGATTTCTTTTTTATTCTAAAGCAAGCACCCAGACATTGCCAAATCTATTTAGGAGGGCCCCAGAGAAGCTTCTCACCCCAACAGTCCAGGGCCCAGCATGAGGCTTCGTTTGAAAGAATGTCTGATTGGTGAGGGGGTATTACAGGCCAAGGTCAAAGATTCTCCTGAAAGAGAGGCAAGGCTCTGCGGACCCCACATAGAAGGCTGCACATCAGCTCAGCTTAGTCTCTGGGACCTGCTCTCAGCCCATCAGGCCCCATCTAGCCACCTGCTTGTAGGGACTCGTTTTAATTAATGCCAGAACTGGGCCAACCACTGGGGCCGTGACACTTGTTTGCAGGTCATCTGCTCCTAACAGGCTCTCCCTGGGAGGGGATTTGTCTCTAATTGAAAGCGAAATCAGTTAATGAGGCCGCAGGGCCTGGAGTCCCAGAGAACAAGGGAGAGGAAAATAAAATCAAGCCCCTGTCTTAGGAAGTTCTGTGATTCATACACACAAAAGAAAAGAAAGCAAGCTGCTGATTTTCCAAGTCAGGAGCTCTACTCCATCTGCCCGAGTGAGCCCCTCGCTGTGTGAAGTCGTCAGGCAGAGGGACATGCCACCGCTAAGGCTCAGGCTCCTGGAGAGGAGAGGAGGGGCCTCTCAAAGCCAGTGATCAATCAGCAGCCTAATTAATGGGTATTTATGGCACAGGGATCTATGGTTCCCTCTGTGGGGTACAAGACAGATGCCTGTCCCTAGCTAACTTGTAATCCAACTGGGGACAATGGGGACAGGGACAGGGTATGACTGAGTGTGGAAAGAACAGAAGGTTTCTGGGACTTAGGTCAAAGAAACTCTCCTCTGGAGGTTTTGGGACCAAGCAAAGAGGCTGAAGTAGAGGGCGTCCCACGCTGTGCAAACACAGCCCAACGCGAAAGCCCGAGTCTGCTGGGTTCTGTGTCCCTCCACTAACCAATCTGAGGGTGTGGCACAGGCCTGGCAAGGGTAGGAATGGAATGAACGTGACCCCACCACCAGTAGGATCCTAAGGGCCAGAGCTCTCGTAAGTAGAATTCCTGAGCCCCAGGCCCAAGGGGAAGGTACCAGAGCAATGACCTCTTCATGCAAGCCCTTCCCCGTGTGTCCCCTACCCTCCTGCCAGATCCTTCTACTTCATCAGATCTCCAGGAAGGAAGAGGCTATTGAAGCAGCTGGGCCAGGGAGGCTCCGAACATCACTTACCTTACAGGTCCAAGGGTGGTGAATGAGCCCCTCTCAGGAGAGCCCTTGGCCCAGCAGAGTCAGGAAGCCTCACTTTTTCTGACTCCCAGACTAAGTCATGCAGGGTTGCAAGGCCACTGGGCAGACTCACAGCTTTTCAACAGTGAGTCACCTATCTACGTCGGCTTCACTTCGTGTGGGTTCTAACTGGCAGTGAGACACGGGATTCGGGGAAGAATGAGATCCCGGGCACAAGAAGGGATGCCCCACTTAACAGCCACTTGGAGATGGCTTGGTCTGTGCGGGAGTGAAATAAAAGAGGCCACTTGAGGACAGCCCCAAAGCTCTACTTCAGAAGAACAGCAATAGCAATGACTGTGTAGGATGAATGGTTTGTCACAGTGTGTACAAGTATGTTTGGTGACAGAAGAGATGAGAGAAGGTTTATCAAAAGATTAGTATATGTGAGTTCTTTCTTCGTGTTAACTTGCGTTTTCTTCCTTTTTAAAATTAAAAAAAAAAAATTGCTGTTATATGTGTGTTGCCTGCTCTTATGTGTGTGTTCCTGCAGAGGCTGGAAGAAGATGTAAGTTCCCCTGGGACTGGAGTTATAGATGAGTCACCAAGAGGGCCCTGGGAATCAAACTCAGGTCCTCTGGAAAAGCAGCTTGTGCTCTTGACTGTTCAGCCATCTTTGTTGTCAAGACAGAGTCGCGCGGAGCCCAAGCTGACCTCAAACTCACTATGCACCTGGAGATGACTTTCGAGCTTCTGCTCCTCCTGCCTCCATCCCATGAGTTCTGGGTACAGGCACGGACCACCATAACCTGTCTTATGCGGCGCTGGGGATGGGAAGCAAGGCTGAGTGCGTGCTGGGCAAGCACTCTACCTGCTGACCTGCATTCCAAGCCCTGATCCAAGAAGTGACATAGAGGCAGAGGTAGGAACAAGACTGGACGATGTCTCAGAGGTGTGATGCATCTCTCCGGCTCTGGCCCATGCCACTCTCTAGCCTGCTTGCTGCCCCCACCTGGGAGCCACCAATCCTACCCTCACTCAGTCAATTTGCAAATTCCCGTAACAAAGTAACAAAGTCCAGCTTTACTCTGCAGGTCTGCAAAGGCTCGACCTGAGGAGCTTTATAAACCTTCCCAGGAGGCGGGACAGTGACACACCAACCAATACTGAAGAGATAGACTGCACGGAGACAGTTCTGTCCAAACCAGCTCCACTGAAGGCCAACAGCCTCCTCCAAGAAAAAGACGCATGCCCTTTACTCGTGGAGCCTCAAGCTTCACACGGTTGCTGTCCGGGGACCTCTAGCTCAGTTAGGCAGAGGAAGTTCGGGAATGTGGGTTCAGGAAGTTTAGAAGCAGTGAACTGGGACCGTAGACGGCCATAGACTGTGCCCCAGAGGCTGCTCTGAGGAAACCATTGCACTGGGGAGACAAAGAGCAGAGCTGTTCTAAAGAGAGTACTGGGTGCAGGGACAGAGAGATGGCTGCCTTTCCTACCCTGAACTCTGTCTCCCCCAATGCCCCGGAGTGCCAGTTTGTGTTCTTCCTATCAGAGCCTCTTCTCTGAAAAATGGCTGGGCATCCCCTTGCAGACCCCATTCCCAACAGCCTGGCAGCAACCCTCAGGAGCTGGGTAGGAGTTACTCACAGCAATGGAGACAGCACTGATGACGGCTCCCAGGTAGCCCTGGATGAACTTGGATGCAGGTGAAGGCTGGAAGACAGGCAGAAAGGTAGGCACACTGAGTGGTCTGGCCCACAAGAAGCACTCCCTCTGGAAGCCGAAGGGGCCCAGGCCTCCCTCAGCAACCTTCGAGGCAGAACACACGAAGCAGGGGCAGGTAACACTGGGCAGCTTTACTTCTGCACTGTTCTAGAAAGATCTGGGCAGACATTGCTGGCTGAAGGTGGGAAGCAGCAGGGACCCACACAGGCCCTTTATGCCCAGGCTGTTGTGTAGTGAACACTGTCTGTGTGAGACAGCAATGTCTCACCAGCTACAGTCTAGCCGGCTCTACAGGCCCCTCAGCCCGGCCATTGGGGGCTTCACCGTCAACACATTGCTGTCGCCCACTAGTTCCATAGAACAAAAGATCTCAAGTCCCAACATGAGACAGGATTAAAGGAAAGCCGAAGAACCTGTCTCTGCTACAACTGCAGTTTGGAGATCGCTGGTTTAAGGTTATCTTGGAGGAAACTGAGTGGAACCATATAGGAGAAGCCCACAAGGGAGGCGACACACAGGGCTAGTGTCCTTAACATCCCCCAGTCCCTCAAGTTCCCACTGCAAAGGCCAGCTTCCCTCAGAGGGGCCCCTCTGGATCTGAGGATGGCCCAGAAGGAAAGAGAAGGGAGCAGCACTCACCTTGGTAGCATTGCGGTTTGCATAATTGACACAGGCATTATGGCTCTGGTTCAGCCACTGAAGGCAACAGAGAGAGAGAGAGAAGTGAGAAGATACGGCCACCTCTATGGAAGAACCCACCTCCACTCCTGCCAGAAACCATGGGAAACTGTCCCACATGTACACAGAGATGAGGACACTGAAGCGAAGTCTAGGGGAGTGTGGAAGCTTGGGGTGGGCGGTACAGTTCTCAAGATGCTGATATCATTTGCACCCAAGATCTGAATGTACAAGCTGTCCCAGAAGAATCCAGAAGCTAGTGGGATTCACCTTCTACAGAGCCTCCATTATTTGACCCCTCTTTACCTGCCAGAGGCTCTGTCAGAAGCAATAGGTTGGTTAGCAAGACGCAGACATCAGAAAGGGGCTACAGGCCTGTGGTCACTGACCATGGGCCAAGCGACCAATGGACAGAATGAGTTGCCACTAACATGCCATCATGTCCCAGGTGAGGATACCTGGCCCCCTCATCACCTCCATCTGAAAGTTAAAGTGACAGAAAATGGCTGGCGTCACCCTGAGGTGTTGGGTGCCTGTCCAGCAGAAACCTTGGTGAGTTAGGGATAAGGGCAGAGGGATAGGGGCATTTGACCCAGGGGCCTGGAGGAAACAGGAGACAATGGGGAAGTACCACACCAGTGTGTGCGCGGGCGCGTGCACTCCTGTGTGTGTGTGCATGCGTGTGCGCGAGTGTGTGCGAGTGCACGTGTGCTCCTGTGTGTGTGTGAGTACATACGCTCCTGTGTGTGCGTGCATGTGTGTGCACGTGCGTGTGTGAGTGTGTGCATGCGTGTGTGCATGCCTGCTTGCACGTGAGCTCCTTGTGTGTGCATGCGTGTGTGTGAGTGCATGCGTGCATGTGTGTGTGCACGTGCACATGAGCTCCTGTGTGTGTGTGTGTGTGTGTGTGTGTGTGCGTGCGTGTGTGTGCCTGCCTTCAGAAACCCTTTCTATGATTCTTACCTGCCAGAAGACAGTGGACGCCAGGGTCTGGTTGGGCAAGAGAAGACCCACCACCTAGAAAAGTGAGAGGGGTAGGTTGAAGAAGGCAACAAAGATGCCCAGTGCTCTGGGGGCTTGTTGTTTTGTGTTTTTCAGACAAGAGTCTCACTACATCCAGGCTTACCAACAATGTACTATGTAGCCCAGACTAGCTTTGAAATCATAGCAAACATCCTGCTGCAGCCTCTCAAATGCTGGGGTTGCAGGTGTGTATCACCATGCCTGCTTCACTCCATGGGTTTGCAGAGCGAAAGTTGTATAGCCATGGACAAGACAGGATTGGAGCTACATGCTCTGGTACGCATGTGATGCCCACAGTGAGACCGATTGTAATAAAAACAAAGTAAGAATGACATTAATGTGTGATCCTGTCTATATGGAAGAAAAACCATAGCTGCCTACCCAACACACACACACACACACACACACACACACACACACACACACACACACACGAAGCATCTATAGGTTCCAGAATTAGCTATGGAAGCCCAAGGAAGTCACTCCAGACTCACAGTCTTCTGATTTTTTTTTTTTTTTTTATTTCAACACAGGGTTTCTCTGTGTAGCTTTGAAGCCTGTCTTGGAATTCGCTCTGTAGACCAGGCTGGCCTCGAACTCACAGAGATCCACCTGCCTCTGCCTCCAGAGTGTGGGATTAAAGGCGCCACCATAGCCAGGCCTCTGCCTTTTTCTTAACAGTGGATTTTATTTGTTTCCAGAATTGGAGAGAACAATAAAAACAAGTGAGCAAACAAAAGGAACCCCACCCCCTCCCCTCAAGTAGACTGAACCCTTCTCCTGTAGGATTCTTGTGCGAATTAAATAATTTCAAGGGATTCAAACATAGAATTTGAGGAAATCTGTCACCACTAACAGAAAACTGGTACTATGGTTTCCACGGGAGTTAGACTGTCCCCCAGAGGCCACTTGTCAAAGGCTTAGTCCATTAGGGCACTGTGATGACTCAAACCCGAATAGCACCTGGAATCTAGACTTGCTGGTTGCCTTTGAAATATATATTTTATTATTTATTTATGTGTATGTGTTTCTGTCTCTGTGTGTGTTTCTGTGCGTGGAGGCCAAAAGAGAGTATTAGATACCGGGCAGCTGATGTCGCAGGCAGCTGTGAAATGCCTGATGTGGGGGCTGGTAACTGAACTCACGTCCTCTGGCAGAGGAATGAGCGCTCTTAACCACTAAGCCAGTGGTTCTCAACCTTCCTACTGCTGTGACCCATTAACACAGCTCCTCATCTTGTAATGACTCCCAGCCACAAAATTATTTCATTGCTACTTTATAACCATAAATTTGCTACTATTATGAATCATAATGTAAATACCTTATATACAGGATACCTGATATGCAACCCCTGAGGAAGGGCTATTTGACCCCTAAAGGGGGTTGTGACCCACAGGTTGAGAAGCACTACACTCAGCTATGTTCACACACATACCTACACACACGCACACACCCCTTTAAAACAGTCTTATGTGCCCCAGGATGGCCTTGAACTTGTATAGCTGAGGATGATCCTGAAGCTCCTGTCTTGCCTCTACCTCCCAAGTGCTGGGAACAGAACGGTGCTGGCTGCTGAGGAATGATCCCAGAGTTTTGTACATGCTAGGCAAGCATGGGGCTACATCGCCAGCTGTGCGTGTGCATGTCTGTGTGTGTGTGTGTGTGTGTGTCTGTGACTGTGTCTGTGTGCATGTCTGTGTGTGTCTGTGACTGTGTCTGTGACTGTGTCTGTGTGTGACTGTGACTGTGTGTGACTGTGTGTGTGTGTCTATGTGTGCATCTGTGTCTATATCTGTGTGTGTGTCTGAGACTGTGTGTGTCCCTATGTGTGTGTGACTTTGTGGGTGTGTCTGTGACTGTGTGTATGTCTGTGTCTTTGTGTGTGTGTGTCTATGTATGCATCTGTGTGTGTCTGAGACTCTTTTGTGTCCCTGTGTGTGATTGTGTGTGTGTGTGTGTGTGACTGTGTGTGTGTGTGTGTATACACACATACACAAACACCAAGGCTCATGCATTTGGAGGTCAGAGGACAACTTTTAGGAGTCAATTCTCACTTTCCATGTTATTTTGAGGTCAGGTCTCTCTTGTCTCTGTCCCTGAACTTCATGCTCCAGGAAAGCGAGCCCATGAGCTCCGGGCAATTCTCTTGCCTCCACTTCCCATCATACTATAGAAATTGTTAGACTGTAGATACACACTGCTGCCTCCCACTTTTCACATGGGATCCCTGGATCCAGATTCAAGGGTCTGAACACAGGTCATCACGGAAAGTGCTTTAATTCACCCGCTGAGTCATCTCCCTGGCCCCTTTGCTTTTTTTTTTTTTTTTTTTTTTTTTTTTTTTTTTTTTTTTTTTTTTGAGACAGAGTCTAATATCCTCAGGCTGGCTATGAGCTTCCTATGTAGCTGAGGACGATCTTGAACTCCTGATCCTCCCGCCTCTCACATGCTGGACTTATAGGCATGCACCATCATACCTGGCTGATCCTGACACTGGCTGCACTCTGGACAGCAAGGACTTGTGTGAGTCTCCTAAATTTACCTTTGGCATGTTTGTATGCAAAGCTGCATCTACCAAGCCTGGCTGCACATGGGGAAAATGTGCACAGCCATCCACATATTGACTTATTTATTATTCCTGTAGATAAAACGGCTCTTTGGCAAGAATTTCTGCAAGGAACAAGTATAAACATTCAATACTATTCAGTAAATCAAATTCTAGACATCCTTAGCAGCATTAGTAAATCATGTTTTAAACATTAAAATGTTTTAAAACAGAGAACACTCACGCACATTTATATTTATTGGCCCATATCAGCTTGAATAAAATTATATAATGTGAAGCCATTCCACAGCTCCAACAGGAGCTCCGCACAGTAATTCTCTTCCAGGGTGAAATCTTTTGTGTCGTGGCCACTTGGGGCAAGGGACTGAAATCCGGGCAGGAGACCATGGGGCCTCACATGCAGCTCTACCTTTTGTGGTCTCAGATTCATGATTCCTTCTGGAGCTTGACCTTCCCATCCTAGATCAGTTCCCTATACTCGCCACCACAGTGCGTGCTGGGGTTGTGTGTGTCTGGGATACATGTTTGTGCGTACATACATGTGGAGGCCCTGGGGGAGATGAAGAACGTGTTCCTCAATCACTCTCCACCTGTATTCATTATTTATTTTTAATACACATGTACGGGTGTTTTGCCTACATGCATGCCTACATGTAGTGACTACAGATGCCCGAAAAGGGTGTTGGATTTCCTGGGACTGGAGTTAGAGATGGTTGTACTGTTACATGTGCTGGGAACCCAACCCAAGTCCTCTGCAGGAACAGCCAATGTGGTTTAACCACTGAGCCATCTCTCCCTAGCCCTAACACCTTTATGCTTTGAGACAGGATCTCACTGAAACGGAAGCTCTGATTGGCCAAAAAGCTCTAGGGATCTACCTGTCTCCACACCCCTCCTCTACCATGCTAAGTTGCTGGCACACACTACTGTGCCTGATTTTTTCCCATGGGTTCTGGGGATCCAAACCTAGGGCCTCATGCTTGTATAGTGGGCATTTTTCAGATCTAGCCATCTACACCCCCAGCTCAGTTTAAAAATCCAGTTGTCTGGAACAGTAACCCACTGTCTGTGGGTTTGTTTGTTTGTTTGTTTTCTTCCTTGGGTCTCTAGTCAGAGCAAAGAGAAACTGAACCTAGAGTAACAAAGGGTGATAGCTACACACAAGCACATGAAATCCACCCCTTAAACTGGGACAATTCATACTGTCCACTGACGAGTGTTCAGGTAACCCACCATCTGTGGTTTATAGATCACCGTACTGCAGACTATGCAGAACAGCCCTCACCCCCAAATACCAACTTTCTGGATGGTGCTTAAGCCGCCAGGAACGTCCTCAGACACCGTGACCTGGCATTCTGTGTGTCACCAAGGCACCTGCTGTCCAGGACGGTCACTGCAGTTTGAACCGTGGGGTCCCTTAACCGAATTACCTCAGAGACACTTTCTGGTTTCTGAGTCAGAGGTTGCATGCCCAAGCAACTGGCTTCCATCTGACTTGCAGTCCCTGGGCCTTTTACCTGTGTCTGACCATTAAGAAGCCTAGGCCAGGGTCAGCAAGATGATTTGTGGGTAAAGGGTTGGCCACACAATCCTGACAACTTGAGTCCTATCCTAAGAACTACTTACACGTTAACACCTCAAAGTTGTTCTCTAACCTCCACACATAAAATAATAATAATAATAATAATAAACAATAAATAAAACAAAGTAAAAGCCCAGGCTAGCTTTCCCTGCCCACAGCTTTCTCACAGATACAGACCCACACTGCTCATTTTCTGTACCCGTTCTCAGCCTCCTCTGTGGGTGTGTGTGTGATTATTATCTTTACTCATTTTATTCTATAGTGTGCATTTAAAAAACTGACATATAATCTTTTCTAGAATAATTCAGAGCCCTAAATAAACTTGTACCTAGGCTACGTCAGTCATACTCGCATTGCACATAGCTCTGACTAGCAAGTGTTTGACTACACTGAGAGCCCTCGCTGCCTGCCATAACACAAACCTGGTGTCCATGCCAGTGCCTCAAAGCGCTGAAACTTCTCCGTGCTTTTCTTAAAGAGATCGCCTTGTTGGCTGACCTTGCCAAGCACGAATCACTTACCATAATCTTGTAATAAGGAGGAACCTATAAAATAGAGGCAGCCTTCCACATTTTGCAGAGGCCTTGAGAAGCACAGGGATCTTCCCAAGTCTTTACAGTAAATTCAAGAGTTTGCGGGGGGGGGGGGGGTGTCTCTCAATCTCCAGCGTGGCATTCTGGTTCTGACTTCAGGGTACACTCCTCCAGCTCGTCTCCACGAGCACAAAGGAAAAGGGGGGGTTCAGTTACTGCTCTAGCCTGTTGATGGGGCACAGTATATATGGCGTGCTCTGAGGCTTCTGGCAATAGCAGGGGTGGGGGGTGGGGAGCTTAGATTGTCCCTGTG